CCTGCTCCTGCTCCTGCTCCTGCTCCTCCTGCTCCTCCTCCTCCTCCTCCTCCTCCTCCTCCCCTCCTCCTTCTCTTCCTCCCCCCCCTCCTCCCCCTCCTCCTCCTCCCCCTCCTCCTCCTCCTCCTCGTCCTCCTCCTCCTCCTTCTTCTCCTCCTCCTCCTCTTCCTCCTCCTCCTCCTCCTCTTCCTCCCCCGCCGTATCCCTCCCAGCGAGGCACCCACACCGATCCTGGGCCCGCGGCCACCTGCAGCTTTGCACAAACCTCCCAATGGCCCTTTGCGGCGTGAGTGGTTTAGCGAGTTTCTTCTTCGCCTTAGTGAGCGCAAGATTAGTGAGGGCCTTAGTGAGCACAAGATTAGTTTGCCTTGCCTTCAGGATGGCTCCAGAAAGCGCAAGATGTCTCAAGAGGGCTCCCAGCATATTCCAGGAGGTCCCACGACTGCTCCAAGACGGCTCCAAGAAGCCACGGAGCCACTCAAGGCGGTCCCCAAAGGCCAACATACTTCAAAGGTGGATGTCCCCCCCTGACTCTGGATCCGCCCTACTTTGGGGAAATTCGTAAGTAGGGCTTGGACTTTCCGCCCTACTTTTCAAGCCCCGCTGAGGCCAATTTCCGCCCTACTTTTCTGTGGCTGCTTTCGCCCTGCTTATGTGGATGTCCGCCCCATTTTATGTTGGTTGCAGAAATTTCCGCCCTACTTGTTCGGCTTCTTATAAGTGGATTTTCGATGCAATTTTAATGCGGAGAAGAACCCAAAGTAGGGCGGATCTGGAGTCAGGGCCTTCCCTTCGGGGAGGGGCTTATCACTGTTCCTTATCAATATACACCCCCTCCCCCAGGCGACCGGGGGCCAGCCCGACACCATGCCGACACCATGCCGACCCGCACCCCACCATCCCGAACAACAAAAAACAAGCCTCACTTTGCTTCCAAATTTGGAGCACGTGCGCCCAACCCGATGCGCCCCTCCCCACCATCCCTGTCAAAAACAATGCAAAGTACACTTTGGGGCAAATTCTTCAATCATGTTCGTGAGGCCCGCGATCACTTTGTATCGTTTCTGACAAGGGCGGCGGGGGTGTCAGCATATTCCCTGCTGCGCGCAAGGCTACCATCCCTGACAAAAGCAATACAATATGCACCTCGCGGCGAAATCTGTATCATGCGCGGCCAATCGCGCGATCACTGCCAAGTGGTTTTCGACAGGGACGGCGGTGGTGGTGGCGCGTGGCCTGCTGTGCGCAGGCCCAGCAGGCACAATGACGGGCATCGGCTTTCGACAAGGATGGCGGGGGCCGACATGTTTCCCGATGTGTGCTGTCACGTGCGCAGGCGCACCTGACGCACTCTGCACGTGCCCCGAACGCGGCGCACCCGGCGCGGCTGAACGGCACACCTGGCGCCTTCGGAGCACGTGGCGCATCTGGCGCACCTGGCGGGCCCAAGGGGTGCCTGGCGCGCGTGGCGCCCCTGGCACGCGTGGCAGACCTCGCCCAAGCGTCGCGCACCTGGAGTCGGCTTTGGTTCCCAGTAGCTGCCCATGCAAAGACGACCGCTGAACATGCTCAGGCTCGGGTGTTACTTATGTGTAGGGAGGGCGGGTAGGAGTCTTCGAGGCAGCCGACATCACTTATGTTGCTAAGGGGGGGGACCATGATTGGAACATCCCCTTCTTTGACCGATCACCTCCAAGAAGGCCTCAAGATGGCCCCCGAGGCTCCCAAGCGTGCCCCAAGGCGGTCCCAAGAGGTGCCCAGGAGGCCCCAAGAGGCCCCCAAGAAACCCCCAAGATGCTCACAAGAGTCTTTCAAGAGACTCCCAAGAGGACCCCCAGAGGCACCGAAGACGCCCCAGGAGACCTCGGCGACTCGGCGAGAAGGCCAACATCATTATTTGTACTAAAAGGTTAGCCACATGTTGGGCCTCCTGGGGGGGAAGGTGCTAATCCCACCAGCCCTCTGGGCGTGAGTGGTTCAGAGCGTTTCCTCTTCCAACCCCCCTTCGTTTCCTCCGCGGAAGGGTGTATCAATGTTTTCTATCAATAAACACCCCCTCCCCCAGGCGACCCGCAGCCAACCTGGACCAATGAGCCCCCCCCCACCATCCCTGGCCAAAACAATACACCATGCACTTTGCCTCCACATCTGGCGCATGCGCTGGCGCCCCACGACCACCTTGCATTGGTTTTTGACGGGGGCGGCGGGGGTGAGGGCAGATTGTTTGCTGCGCGCACGCCAACCATCCCTGTCAAACATGATCGACCCACGAACCCGGAAAGTAATATAGAAATGTAGCGCATGGCAGCGTTTTCAAAGACACCTGATTGGGTGACGGGCAATTGCAATGCTGAATGTATCGATCTTGATGTACCCTGCCGAGGGCTGTGCTGTGCTGCACCGTGCTGGATTGCGATGTGCCATGCCGCGATTGTGCTCTATAGCGTCGTGGATCGAATCCTCCTCTGCATCCGAGTCCTGACCGAACCGATCTGGATCTTAAGCTCGAGCTGCCTGAACGCATAATAGCTGCCGCAGAGCTAATTGACAGGGGGACATGCTAGGAGGACGCGCCGCGGAACGTCCCAAGGGACGCTGGAGAGAGCCAATCTCGAGGTAACGGGAGAGCCCATCTAGAGGAACATACGTAAAACCGCACAGACACGTACCCCTGGATGGGCCCACCTCAAGTAAAACCTAGAAGTAGGCCAACTAAAAGAGAGAACCCCGGGCGTACGCCCCCTCCGGGAAAAACGAGCAGACACCGTGGCTCCAAATCTGGCGCGTGCGCAGGGCCCTCTTTCTCAGAGCTCCCATGTGTTCCACGAGTCCTTGTGATATCACAATGTCTCCCTTGGTGCCTGTGCTGTGCGCTCCGTGGACGAGCCGCCATTCTCACAGAGTGATCGGCACTTCGCTTCAGGGGGATTCGAGATCCTGCGCTCCTTGGGGCCAGGGCCCCAGGTACCTTGGGTCCTTATTGTTCACCGTAGCTCGCGCACCTGGCGCGGCTGCAGCACGCGGCACAGTTGGCGCACGTGGGGCCTGTGCCGCACCTGGCACGCTTGGGCCTCCAGTGCGCCTGGTAAACCTGGAGCCCGTAGGCGATCTGCTGACACTCGGGCATTACTTATGTGTTGGGAGGTCGGGTGGGAGTGAGCTAGACGGCGAGGATAGAACCCGTTGCGCACGCGGCATGCGTGGCGTTCCTAGGTGGCATGCAGAGACTCGGGTGTTACTTATGTGTCGGGAGGGAGGTTGGGACTGAGCGAGACGGTCTTGCGGGCAGAGGGGGGGTCCTTGACCGAAAATGGGAGAAATCACAGTCAACTAGGACGGATTTCAACCATGTCGATCCCAATCCCGACCAACTGGTGCCAAGCACAAGCGCTTTTCAAGTTGTTTGAACAAAACGGTTTGTAGAAGTTTCTTGGACGCTCCATAGAGGCTCCTTAGAGGCTTCTTGGAAGCTCCGTAGAAGCTCCTTGGAAGCTCCTCAGAAGCTCCTTATGAGCTCCTTAGAAGCTCCTCAGGAACTTCCGAGGCGTTCCTTAGAGTCTCCCCAGAAGCAGCTTAGAGGCTCCTGGGGAGCTCCTTAGAAGCTTATCAGAAGCTCCTTAGAGGCTCCTTGGAAGTTCTGTAGAGGCTCTGTAGCAGCTCCTTAGAGGCTCCTCACAAGCTTCTTGGAGGCTCTTTAGAAGCTCCTGAATAGCTCTTTAGAGGCTCTGCTCCTTAGAGGCTCCTTAGACGCTCCTTGAAGGCTCCGTAGCAGCTCCTTAGAGGCTCCTTGGAAGCTACTTAGCAGCTCCGTAGAAGCTCCATAGAAGCTCCATAGAGCCCCTTTAGGGCCCTTAGAAGCTTCTCAGAAGCTCCTTAGAGGCTCCTTAGAGGAACTTCAAGGATGCGTGGGGGATGTCTGAAGGATTTCTGGGGGATTGCCGGGGAAAGTCCGAAAGATTTCTGGACGATTGTTGGTGGATGTCTGAAGGATTACCGAAGGGCTTCTGGAGAAAACAACTGGGGACTCCTGGAGGAGGAGGAGGAGGAGGAGGAGGAGGAGGAGGAGGGAAGACACACGAAAGGAGGAAGGAAGGAACGGCCGAGGACAGCGAGGATGAGACATCTGGCTTTCGATATGTGTTGTTGTGAAAGGTGTGCAGGTACGTGGTAAACATACATATGTATGTGTATATATATATACATATAACGCGGTGTTGGATCAACGTTGTGGTTTTGAGGTGATATGTGGTGTTGCGAACTGCTGCTGCAAAAAAATACAGCTCCCAGATCCCAGACAGTGAACTGGTACGAGTTCCAACCGGGGCACGCATGTTGACTCCCAGAATGACTGTGTCCCCTTTAGACGCTCAATTGATGTCTGGATCGTCTGAAAATGCTGTACTGTACAAACAGGATCCTTATGTAGACTCAATCGGACTAGTTGTAATTGGTATGAACTGACTTGTCGGCCGATTAGGAAGTGGCCAGGTCGGGTGTAATTGGTACCAGTCGGTTGGGATTGGTCCGACATGCGGTCTTGACCTCTCCTACCGCCGCCCCCCCTGTACCTGGACGGGGGGGAAGGCGGCGAGGGGTCAGAGCATCCTAAACGGCCTCAGCGAGAAGGCACACACCATTGATTGTACTGAAGTTTTGGCCACACGTTGGCCTCCTGGGAGTGTAAACTTGCTACTGCCCCGCATTTGATCGATCTCATCCAAGATGGCCCCACGATGGACCCCGAGGCCCCCAAGATTGCCCCAAGAGGGCCCCATGATGCGCCCAACAGGCCCCACGAGGCCCCTAAGATACGACCCGGATGCCTCCAAGAGGCTCCCAAGAGACTCCTTAAGAGGCCCGAAGAGGCTCTCTCGAGGCTCCCGAGACATTTCAAGAGGCCCCCGGGACCGCCACGAGGCCCGCAAGAGGCCCAAAGAGCCTCGCAAGAAGCTCTCCAGAAACATCCGAAGAAACTCAGAGCGGCTTTCAAGAGGCATCTG